CACGGATCGGCAGTCCAAAGGTGACGAAGTAAAGGACAGCTGTCCGGAGGGCCGAGACCGACTAGACGATGAAGAAGCACGTAGGACAGGGCTAGGGCGACGGAGCCGGCATGGCAGTTCATGGAGAGTGCTCGGAGCCAATAAGAACAGAAGTACGAAGGATGATTGTCATTCCCCACAGTGGACGCACCCATGCAAGCAAATCTTTGGTCAAGAAAAAGCTCTACGAGAAGAAGTCCACGTGCGCCACTGCTGGCGCGGGCGCCTTGGTGGCTGCCTCGGCAATGGTGCGTGAAGGCATGGTGCAGAAGCCAGCCAAGTCCCACATGCGGATCACGTGCCTTGGGTGACCTTGAGTTGCGGTTGAGGGCCAAAGCTCATGTCGCCTGGCGCTGTCAACACCATGATTGCAAGAGGTTCGTCAATGTTCTCCACTGCTCCACAGTGTGGCCGCCGTCAGTCAGCCAGGGCATGACGCCGGACCAAGTCTACTCCGCGTGTCGAGCCTACAGTGCCACCGGCACGAATCGCCCACCCTCGGCTGTGGCGCAGGGGAAGGTGCTTGGCTGCGGCAGAAAGCCCTTGGAGACGCTCTTCAAATCCCTCGAGCAGGAAGAGTCACGGCGAGGCCGAGCTCTGGTGGCCGCGACAAAGTTGGGAGGAGTGGTGGCTCGGCCAAAAGTATTAATTTGCTCCCTTTTTTTCCTCTTAGGCATTGCGCCGCTTTCGGTTTTTTCTACGCATGGGCCTGAGGTAGAAGCCGATGCTACGTGTCTCCGAACCCTGCGTGTGGCACCCAGCAGCACCAAGTTCCAAGTGCTGGTGCGGCAGTGGCTTCGTGACCATCCGGGCCAGGAGACTCCGCCCCACTTCTTGCTCTACGTTCGTGCCTTGGGTGTGACTCAGAGGAACACATCCAAGTTGGTGGTGGTGCCTGCCGGCCTGAGGCTGGTCCCTGCGGGGGCTCGCCCGCCTTCAGAGAGCACTCAGGAAATTCGTGCATCCAATATCTTGCGATGCGTGAAGGCAAAGTCAATTTTGATGGCAGATGGAGCTCGGGCCTGATTGCCCTGAGATTGTTTGACAGATTCTTGGTTCCTTCACTTGTTTTTGTTTGATTTCATGTGAATCTTTGCAGGTGCCACCTAGTGGAAATCCGCAGTTATTTTCAAGCAACATGTCATCACCTTTGTTGAAGGGAACTTTGTTATCATCATTGCATTTGCCTTGGGTTTGGTGGCATGAGTCTTTACCAAAAAGAAATGATGAACCTGACTTGCTTGGCCAGGGTAGATGGTGCTGGAAATATGGCGCGTCGTGTTAATTTATGTCTGTGCAGCCCCCCAGCCAAAAATGAACTTGATGAAATTTGTCGAATTTAATCAAAACCATGCATTTGATCAAATTTGATCAAAATTTGGAATTGAGAGCCCCCCCCCAAAATTGGAACACTCAATATTGTTCCCTATGTGAATTTTGATTTTAGGGCAGATCATTCTGAGCCATCCCAATTGAAATCAATCCCTTGAAAAGAGGGCGCCACCAATGGCAACTGTGACCAGGACTGCTTGGGAAAGGATACCCAAAAACGCGTCAACACTGAAAAGCTATGAAATCAAATTTGGAAGGACCAGTGAGCAGTAAATCCGAGGACTGGAAAATATGAACCAAATTTCGGGATGGCTAAGAGACAACACAAACATCACCACGACAAAGTGCCAGTGAACAGGAAGCTTGAAAAAACTATGAAACAAGGCAACTATTGGTTGCCAAAGATATTTACAGGCCAGATTTTTTTTGAGACACCTCGCTCTGGACGGGTGTAAGAAACCACGTTTGAGGAAAACCAAACGACAGGACGCACATTTGGTGATAGAACATATGGGGACCGCACATGTTTATGGGTGAAGCAACTTTGAAGAAACGCAGTTAAGGAACACTTCTGGACTACACATATCCGTGGCCTCAAAATGTTGCACTCCACATATTTGACAAAAATGGTAACTACAATTTTTCTGGGTGAACACATGTTGAAATTTAGTTAAGAAACATTTTGCGCACTACAATTTCAACGCGTGTTGGACACGCAATCTGACATGGTTTACTACATTGCAGGCCAAATGTTTGACTGAACAATTGGTGGCCGCACATTTTACTGGCCAAAATATGTTGAACATATAGTTGAGGCACATCCCTGGACTATGATTTCCTGTGGCCTCAACATTTTGCCAGGCCACATGTTTGACACAATAAATTGGTGACTACAATTTTTTTGGTCGAAATACTTTGTGAAATAGAGTTAAGGGATATTTCTCAAGATTTTACATGCCAAATACTTGCCAGACAAACATTTGATTACATTGTTCAATAGATGAACATATGTTGAACACATTGTTAGGAACACTTTGTGTACCACAACTTCCTGTGGCCTCAAAAGTTTGCAGGCCAAATGGTTGACAGAACACTTGGTGACCACAACATTTTTGTGGGTCAACATATGTTGAATATATGACTAAGGAGAAACTCTGGACTACAGTGTCCTGTGGCCTCAGAATTTTGCAGGCCAATTATTTGACAGAAACAAGTGCATAGGCCAACATAATTTGAACAATTATAGCCAAGGGAAATGTTGGGAGTACAATTTCCTTGGGCCTCGACATGTTGCAGGCCAAATGTTTGACACCAGGAGTTGGTGACCACGAAGTTTTATGGGTCAACTGTCCAGAGGCCTCAAATTTGACAGTCCACATATTTGACAGAAACAATGGTGACGGCTTTTTTATGGGACAACATATTTTGAGAACTCGATTCAAGCGCTTTGGACTACGATTTCCTGTGGCCTCAAGATGTTGCAGGCCAAATAGTTGACAAACAAAATTGATGACTACAACTTGTTTGTAGGTGAACATGATGTGGAAACTCAAAAACAAGGACAGATATCTGGACTATTCTGTGGCAGCCCAAATACCTGTCAGATAAGTTGGTGACTGCATGTTTCTATTGGCGAACGTATTTTGGCAAAACAACTGTGATGGATGACACCCTTTGCCCAAGGGGTCCTGGGCCCACCAAATTTTGAGTTTTCCTGCTTACTAGGCATCAAGCAAATAGGTCCTCAACTTGTAGTTCAAGTTTGTTGTTTGCGACTGGGCCTCCACAAAAACAACATAATGTTGCTCCACTGTCATAAGGGAAACAACAATGTGGCAGCCCCCCATGGTATTTTATATTTATGGACAGACATTTCAACACACATTAAAGCAAACACGCGTAAACCAACGTGCTGTCATACATACACACAAAACAATATGTAACACTATCCCTATTCAAATATAGCCTTAGCATAAACATATGTATGTTTGTCTATATATACCATATTTAGACGCAGGTAGTTTTGGAACTGAGCAACTCCAAAACAGGTGCCGCGGGAAACACATGTGCAGAAACATGATTGAATTGGCCTTGTGTCAAATCAATAGAAACTGCAGATGAAACTGCATATTCCAAATCAATAGAGACTACAGCGCCCAAACCAGTAGAAGCTATGCAGTGTCAAATCAATAAAGGCTTGAAATCCGGGCTTTAAAAACATTGATTATACCAATAGAAACCGACGAAATCAATATCAATAGAACATACTGATTTCTATTGATTAGAATCAATAGCGGATGTCCAGGGAGTGTTGCTCAAGTGTCGCGTCATCTGAAGTGTCGATCAGCAGTTGCTCAGAAGTGTCGCATCGCTCAGAAGTGTGCCTCAGAAACGTCAAATAGAAGCGTTGCTCAGATGTCTCGACCAGACGCGTCGATCACAAGTTTTCATCAGAATTGTCGCTCGTGTCGCAAAGAAGTGTCGATCAGAAGTGTTGCTCAGAAGTGTCGACCAGAAGCGTTGCTCGCATCGAAGTGTTGCTCAGAAGTGTTGCTCAGAAGTGTCGATCAGAAGTGTCGCTCAGAAGTGTCGATCAGAGGCGTTGCTCAGAAGAGTCGATCAGAAGTGTTGCTCAGAAGTGTCGATCAGAAGTGTTGCTCAGAAGTGTCGACCAGAAGCGTTGCTCGGATCGAAGTGTTGCTCAGAAGTGTCGATCAAGAGTGTCGATCAGATGTGTTGCTCAGAAGTGTCGCTCAGAAGTGTCGCTCAGCGGTGGCGAGTTGACGACATGCACATTCCCAAGGCCATTTTTTGCATTCGGGTTCGTGGCTTCTTTCAGGCTTTTTAAAGACTGGTTAAAATCCCTACTCGAAATGGTGACAGGAAAGAATCCGGTTCAGATTGGCGAGTCGGCCCTCTGTGCGCTGAAGCAACTTAGAAATTGTACAACTTACAACGTTTGCCATGTTGTCGTAGAATAAATCTTGGCATTTGCAAGCCTCATTACCCGATTGCGCGTAGGCCCGCACTACATGTTACCATGGTTACATTCCATTTGTAACTTGTGCTTTTCTTCCACCATTGCCGGGAACCTCTCGCGTATTTGTTTCGTATTCCGCACTAAACCTATCGTCTGAGGTCTCGCGAGCTTTTTTGGTATTGCCCAAATTCTCGGAAGTATGGGTCTTTCCTCCAAAAGTCTGCCCCCTCAGTCAAAATTTTAAGCTTCGCAACGCTTGCTTTTTTTGAATCCCCAACCCCGGTGAATTACTAGTTAGCAGGTTTACAATCTGCTAAGTAGTTTGCGTACACGTAGAATCGCAGGGAACTTCTTGCATGCTTTTAACTGTCGATTTCACATCTGAGTTGCAGCGTGCTTCGCATTTGTGATTTTACGCAGCCTTTTTCTGGGTTTGGTGTTTCGATTTGTTCGAGTTTGCTTTTCGATTGCTCAAGTCCATGGTTTTTTTCGAGAACTTTGTTGTTTTTGGCACGTTTTAGAGTTGCCGCGGCGATGTTGCGCTTTTCCGGCTGGAACTTAAATATACACAGCAACTGCTGTGATGCGTTGTGACCCTTTGTGCCATGGTTTGCTAAGCATGTGTGCGCACAATACTGAACTTATTCAGGAGCATTTGGCTTCGCAGAGGGGCCAAGGCCAGGTGCATGGGTTGTGCAGTTCTTGCAGTGTCGCTTTCATATTCGTTGGTTTGTGCGAGTTTGCCCTTATGGTTTCGTCGCTGCTCACTTGCCCATCGAGTTCATGGATCGCGGCAAACCTGAGTTCGTACTTGACCCTGCAAGCGACTGATCACAAGCTCAGCAACTGCGACAACATGTCTGTGCTTTGAAGACGGTAGCCATTGATGCTTCGCTTCCTTTCAGTGCTTGAACGGGTCCTTTGCGATGCGCTTGAACATGAAAGTCTGAGTGAACTTGTGTTTGTCTGCTTATGTGTTTGATACGGCTTGGATCACCGTGCGCCCTGGTCTTGCTAGAGACATGCAGGAGGTTGGCCCGCGCGACGCTTTCCGAAGGTATCCGAAGATTGCAGTGTGCAAAAGCGCTCGCGTTCTCGCTCGCGCGCGCATGTTTGGTGCTGCATTTTGCGTGCCGATCGCGGCACGGTCTAAGTAGAAATGTGCCTTGAGACTTGTGAAATCCCCGAGAGGCCCCGAGAGGAACGAGTGTGTAGAGCTACGCGCCCGAGAGCCGGTCACCAAAAACCGGTCACGTTGGAAGCCGAAGATAGCCGGAAGATATTTGGAACCCGAACAGGATGTGAACATCCACAGTCTTTTCCCCTGTCACGCCCGCCACTCGCCTCATAGGTGTCCCAGCGATGTCTGAACCCAGCCGAGACGATGTTGATGTTCTACCGGGCCGCTCACGAACCGTGGTAAAAAATGACTTTGCCACAGAGCGCATCCCCCTTGTTTTTGCTTTGGTTGCTTCGTTCTTCTAATTCAACTTGCCTCGCAGGCAAGTGGCATTGCGGGGACTGCGGTGGCTTCTTCCGTGGCCGCAGGGGCTTGCAGGATCACCAACGCCAGGCCCATGGCAAGGCGTGGATGCGTGTGCGGAAGGCAAGGGAAGGGGCTCCAAAAATTATATGCGCGGGTTGACATCGCCGAAAGCTTGACTGAAAAGGAGTGGCGCCGGACAGGAGAAACGTTCCGACCGAAGGAACACACTCTCCCGAGAGCCCGCGCGAAACAATGATAGCGATCGTGCTACAGGAAAAAGCGCGCAATGAGCACGGGTTCCCAAACCACGCGCGGCAATGATTGCTTTCATGTCACGGGAGAAGGCGCTCGCAATGAGGATATCGTTTGTGTCAGAGGAGACGCACTTGCAGTCAACACGCATTCGTGAGAAGCCACGCACGACAATAATACAATTCCTGTGACAGGAGAAACACTGGCAGTGAACACGCAGCCACGCCGCATCAAGAACAAGAAGAAGAAGGAGGAGGAGGAGGAAGAAGAAGAAGAAGCAGAACGGGCAGCCGCGGACGCTGGCGGAGGTCCGCAGCAGACAGACCAGTCATGGTGCCAAGTTAGGCGCAATGGTGGCCAGACAGAAGAACTGTGGCGAGACACGTCAATTGTGGAATCTCCGGTGAAGGGTGGCCAGCCCGGACAAGCTTTAGTTAGTTGACGCTCAATAAAAGTGATTGCACCCATAGCATTGCATAGAATTGCAGACAGGCAAAGCAAGACCGACGGACAATTACAGGGTGGATAGTTTTACTTGGCTCGACTAGATGTATAGCGCTGTGTGGAAGTGTACATATAGTGTAAGGAATGCACGTTGTTTGAAGCCAGCTGGGTCGTACTAGCAGATGCGTGCAAAAGATGAAACGTTTGCCGCCGGAGCAAGACTGGCTTGCCCAGCCTGGCAATTGCAAAGTGTCTTGCACGATTTTGACTAATGAGATGTTTGAATGGAACATGGAGATTTGAGGCGAGCGCAGCATGTGCAGCCCGCTGAACTGAACAAGCGTCTTGGTACGCGCGTGGCGTGAAGCATCCGACGCAGGAATGCGCGCGACCCAAGCTTTCTCGGAGCACGCGCAGCAGCTGTTGAAAACTAAACAAAGAGAACTGTTGGTACGATTGAATGTTGGAAAAGGAGCTCGGTTTGAGCTGTGTTAAGGGTATTTGCTCAATCACTGGCTGAGCTGAAACCCTGAGGCAGTGGAAGCTGCCCTGGTTTGCCCGGCTTGTGAGTTGAGCCTCCTTTGGTTTCGAGTCTCGACTGTGCCAGGACGCTGTGGATCTAAGCCGCCTGGCTTTGATGCCGTATCGCGCACGTGCAGCCGGACTTTCTGGCGTCGCTAGTGCCGCTAGTGCCGCCAGTGCCTGCCTGAACGCGCGCGGTTGGGGAAGCGGAGCTTCGAAAGCTTAGGTTCGAGCGGCTTGCGGGCAACGCGAGCACTTGATGAAGGTCTCTGCGCTTCAGATGCAGCCTCAGGCGGTAACAGGCGGTCTCAGGCGTTGTCTGCGGTCTGGGCGGTCTCAAGCGGTTTGCGGTCTCAAACAGTTTCAGGGTAGTCTTGGGCGTCTCAGGCGGTGTCAGGTGGTAACAGGCGGTCTCGGGCAGTCTGCGGTTTGGGCGGTCTCAAACGGTTTCAGGGTGTTCTTGGGCGGTCTCACGGTCTCAGGCGGTGTCAGGCGCTAGCAGGCGGTTTGCGGTCTGGGCGGTCTCAAACAGTTTCAGGGTAGTCTTGGGCGTCTCAGGCGGTGTCAGGTGGTAACAGGCGGTCTCGGGCAGTCTGCGGTTTGGGCGGTCTCAAACGGTTTCAGGGTGTTCTTGGGCGGTCTCACGGTCTCAGGCGGTGTCAGGCGCTAGCAGGCGGTTTGCGGTCTGGGCGGTCTCAAACAGTTTCAGGGTAGTCTTGGGCGTCTCAGGCGGTGTCAGGTGGTAACAGGCGGTCTCGGGCAGTCTGCGGTTTGGGCGGTCTCAAACGGTTTCAGGGTGTCTTGGCGGTCTCACGGTCTCAGGCGGTGTCAGGCGCTGCGGTTTGCGGCGGTCTCAAACGGTTCTCAGGGTGCGGTTTGGGCGGTCTGGGCGTGTTCTTCGGTCACGGTCTCAGGCGGTGTCAGGCGCTAGCAGGCGGTTTGCGGTCTGGGCGGTCTCAAACAGTTTCAGGGTAGTCTTGGGCGTCTCAGGCGGTGTCAGGTGGTAACAGGCGGTCTCGGGCAGTCTGCGGTTTGGGCGGTCTCAAACGGTTTCAGGGTGTTCTTGGGCCGGTCTCACGGTCTCAGGCGGTGTCAGGCGCTAGCAGGCGGTTTGCGGTCTGGGCGGTCTCAAACAGTTTCAGGGTAGTCTTGGGCGTCTCAGGCGGTGTCAGGTGGTAACAGGCGGTCTCGGGCAGTCTGCGGTTTTGGGCGGTCTCAAACGGTTTCAGGGTGTTCTTGGGCGGTCTCACGGTCTCAGGCGGTGTCAGGGCGCTAGCAGGCGGTTTGCGGTCTGGGCGGTCTCAAACAGTTTCAGGGTAGTTCTTGGGCGTCTCAGGCGGTGTCAGGTGGTAACAGGCGGTCTCGGGCAGTCTGCGGTTTGGGCGGTCTCAAACGGTTTCAGGGTGTTCTTGGGCGGTCTCACGGTCTCAGGCGGTGTCAGGCGCTAGCAGGCGGTTTGCGGTCTGGGCGGTCTCAAACAGTTTCAGGGTAGTCTTGGGCGTCTCAGGCGGTGTCAGGTGGTAACAGGCGGTCTCGGGCAGTCTGCGGTTTGGGCGGTCTCAAACGGTTTCAGGGTGTTCTTGGGCGGTCTCACGGTCTCAGGCGGTGTCAGGCGCTAGCAGGCGGTTTGCGGTCTGGGCGGTCTCAAACAGTTTCAGGGTAGTTTTAGGCGCTCTCAGGATCTCAGGCAGTGTCAGGCGGTCGGTCTCAAGAAAAATCAGGGTAGTCTTGGGCGGTCTCACGGTCTCAGGCAGTGTCAGGCGGTAACAGGCGGTCTCAGACGTGGTCTCAAGCGGTCTGCGGTATCAAACGGTTTCAGGGTAGTCTTGGGCGGTCTCACTGTCTCAGGCGGTGTCGGGCGGTAACAAGCGGTCTCACGTGGCGGTCTGTGCAGTCTCAGGCGGTAACAGGCGGTAACAGGCGGTCTCAGGAGTGGTCTCAAGCGGTCTGCGGTATCAAACGGTTTCAGGGTAGTCTTGGGCGGTCTCACGGTCTCAGGCGGTGTCGGGCGGTAACAAGCGGTCTCACGTGGCGGTCTGTGCAGTCTCAGGCGGTAACAGGCGGTAAACAGGCGGTCTCCGCGTGGTCTTCAGCGGTCTGCGGTATTCAAACGGTTTCAGGGTGTCTTGGGCGGTCCTCACGGTCTCAGGCAGGTGTGTGGCGGTAACAAGCGGTCTCACGTGGCGGTTGTGCAGTCTCAGGCGGGGCATCTGGCGGGTAATGGAGTCTCAGGCGTGGTCAAAGAGGTCTGCGGTATTCAAAAGGTTTCAGGGTAGTATTGGGCGGTCTCACGGTCTCCAGGCGGTGTCGGGCGGTTACAAGCGGTCTCACGTGGCGGTCTGTGCTGTCTCAGGCGGTAACAGGGCGGTAAACAGGCGGTCTCTGGGTGGTCTCAAGCGAGTCTGCGGTATCAAACGGTTTCAGGGTATCTTTGGGCGGTCTACGGTTCTTCAGCGGTGTCGGGCCGGTATACAAGCGGTCTCACGTGGCGGTTCTGTGCGTTCTCTGGCCGGTTACCAGGCTGGTAACAGCTGGTCTCAGGCGTGGTCTCAAGCGGTCTGCGGTATCAAACGGTTTCAGGGTAGTCTTGGGCGGTCTCACGGTCTCAGGCGGTGTCGGGCGGTAACAAGCGGTCTCTCGTGGCGGTCTGTGCAGTCTCAGGCGGTAACAGGCGGTAACAGGCGGTCTCAGGCGTGGTCTCAAGCGGTCTGCGGTATCAAACGGTTTCAGGGTAGTCTTGGGCGGTCTCACGGTCTCAGGCGGTGTCGGGGCGGTAACAAGCGGTCTCTCGTGGCGGTCTGTGCAGTCTCAGGCGGGTATAAGGCGGTATACTGGCGGTCTTTCAGCGTGGTCTCAATGCTTTGGAGATCTTCAGGGACACATGGCGTCGCACCTGACGGCGGGCGGTCCTCCCCCCCCCCCCCCCCCCCCCCCAACCAACCCCCACAAACAAAACGGTCTTCAGGCGGTGCCGGTCGGGCGGTAACAATCGGTCTCACGTGGCGGTCTGTGCAGTCTCCAGTGCGGTAACAGCGGTAAAAGGCCGGTCTCAGGCGTGTTCTCAAGCGGTCTGCGGTATCAAACGGTTTCAGGGTAGTCTTGGGCGGTCTCACGGTCTCAGGCTGTGTCGGGCGGTAACAAGCGGTCTCACGTGGCGGTCTGTGCAGTCTCAGGCGGTAACAGGCGGTAACAGGCGGTCTCAGGCGTGGTCTCAAGCGGTCTGCGGTATCAAACGGCTTCAGGGTAGTCTAGCGGTCTCACGTGGCGGTCTGTGCAGTCTCAGGCGGTAACAGGCGGTAACAGGCGGTCTCAGGCGTGGTCTCAAGCGGTCTGCGGTATCAAACGGTTTCAGGGTAGTCTTGGGCGGTCTCACGGTCTCAGGCGGTGTCGGGCGGTAACAAGCGGTCTCACGTGGCGGTCTGTGCAGTCTCAGGCGGTAACAGGCGGTAACAGGCGGTCTCAGGCGTGGTCTCAAGCGGTCTGCGGTATCAAACGGTTTCAGGGTAGTCTTGGGCGGTCTCACGGTCTCAGGCGGTGTCGGGCGGTAACAAGCGGTCTCACGTGGCGGTCTGTGCAGTCTCAGGCGGTAACAGGCGGTAACAGGCGGTCTCAGGCGTGGTCTCAAGCGGTCTGCGGTATCAAACGGTTTCAGGGTAGTCTTGGGCGGTCTCACGGTCTCAGGCGGTGTCGGGCGGTAACAAGCGGTCTCACGTGGCGGTCTGTGCAGTCTCAGGCGGTAATAGGCGGTAACAGGCGGTCTCAGGCGTGGCGGTCTGCGGTCTGGGCGGTCTCAAGCGGTCTCAAGCAGTTTCAGGGTAGTCTTGCGGTCTCACGGTCTCAGGCGGTGTCGGGCGGTAACAAGCGGTCTCACGTGGCGGTCTGTGCAGTCTCAGGCGGTAACAGGCGGTAACAGGCGGTCTCAGGCGTGGCGGTCTGCGGTCTGGGCGGTCTCAAGCGGTCTCAAGCAGTTTCAGGGTAGTCTTGCGGTCTCAAGACGGTGTGTCAGGTGCTGCAAGAGATGGTGACATGAAGAAGATCGCTGATATGATGGCTGCCGGGTGGGACCTGGAGTCCAGGGACCACCACGGTTCCAACGCTCTCCTGTGGGCAGCAGGCAAAGCCGAGAGAGATGTTCGGTCGAACGGTTAAACCGAGACCGTGCCAGGCGGTGGACACTTGGCGCTATGCTGTGCCCTGGTGGAAGCAAAGCTGGACCCGAGGAGCCATCAGAAGGCGCGGGTAAGAGCCGCCAAGTCACAGCCCACAGCCGACCCCCGATTTCCCTTCCCAACCTGTTCGCACCCCGATTCAAGCAAGCGCAACCAATGCTGCATTTGTTTTAAGGCTCTTGTCAAAAGCCGGTGGGCGCGACATGCCAAAACAAATTGAGATTCTTAAGTTCATTCAACGCCAATGCTGCCTGACACAGCTGAAAAATCTGCAGCGCCATACTTGTTGGCGACTCTCCTCTGACAGCACTCGCATGGTGTGTAGCAGGTCCTCTTCAGCCCTTCACCTTGACTTCCAATTTCTATTTTCTCATGACCCAAAGCCTAAGTATTGCCCATGCCTTTGATGGCACTCAACTCCGCAAGATCCATGTCCCATGTATTTCATCTGCCAGGACCGTCGCAATGCTCTACATTGGGCCTGTCCCCCAGAATGTGTCGAGCAAGTGCTGTTTTCTGGATTTCGTTTGTTTGGCCCGTGAGCGTCTTTTCATTTTGCCTTGCTTTTGTAGGCGGCGCGGAACGGGCATGTGGACGTCTGTTGCTGGCTAGCCCAATTCCTGGACCCGGACACGGCCACCCTGGACGGCACGACGCCGCCCACGGCACAGAGAAGCGAAGCGAAGCGAAGAGAATGCCTCACATAGCACGTCGCTTGCGCGACGTGCGCTGGAAGTCGGCTGACCAGGCTGCACTGGGCCGTGTGGCAGGGCCATAAGGACGTGTGCGACTTCCTCATCCACGAGGCTGAAGCAGTGTGCCAGCCAGCTTGCGCGGCAATGATGTCAGGCCAAGGCCAACTTGCATGCCAAGAACAAGTGCGCAACTGGCGCAACTGGCGCAACTTGCCGTGCTCTTGCCGCAACTTCTGACCCCTCGCCCTCGAAGGTATGGTTGCAACGCTTCCCAATGGGCTGCCTTGGCTGGCTCCGTAGAAATGTGCAGAGGGCTCGGTCTCAGCACAGCACGCGCGGACGAGTACGCGGGTTTTCCATCGAGAAGTCAATGCGATGTTGCAACTGCTCAAACCTTCAACCGAACTTTGCAAGGTGAAGAAGTTATTTGATTTGGCAGCGCTGGTGTGCTGATGCTGGTGTGCTGGTGCTGGTCTAGGATTTGCAAGTTTCCGGCCAGAACATACTTAACATGTGCAAAAAAGATGTTTCTGAACGCTTTCCTCATTTTGACATCGATTTCAGGAATTCACTAACTTCCTTGGTGCTTGGTTGCTGGCTATCTTTTGTCTCTCGCAGGCCTGTACCTGCAGCGCAAAGGTGGGTTCCTCAGCTTGCCCTCGTGCGCTCTGTGACTGACAGGCTTGGATTTGGCAGTGCTAAACTTCAATGGCCACTCGGCGCTGCACAAGGCCCAAATGCAACGAATGCAAGCCCATGCCGACATGCAAATCACGCAAATCACGCAAATCTGCAAATCTGTGTTTTGGTTCATTTCAGGCAGCTGTGAAAGGTCAGCGAGATCTCTGCCAATGGCCTGGCGCCCAACCCGACCCGTCTCGCTCGAGTCGAGCGCTCGAGGCTTTTGGGCGAAGGTGGCCTAGGCCAAGCGCAGGACTCGAATTCCACATCGCGACAGATCCCCGACATATCCCTGGCATGCAATTTCTGGTCCCAATTTCTTGCAGTTTCCTGTCCCTGCTTTTGTTTTATATGACGGCAGATGCAGCCGGACAAGGATGGCAACACCCCGTCAGTGATGGCAGCTCCGGCTCGTAGACAGATTGATTTGGAGAAAGTTTCAGATCTCGATCTTCCTTGGCCAGGCCCGGTGCGGCGGCTTCGCCGAGCTGTCCAGATGGCTGCGAGACGTGGAGTGCGATGCGGGCTCCGAAGCTGCCCAAGCCCCGCAAGTTCCGAACACGGAGCCGGCAGAGCCGGAGCCGGCAGAACCGCAAGAGCCGGAAGAGCCGGCAGAGCCGGAACCGGCAGCCAAGGAGAAAAAGGCATCGAAGGGCAGAGGGTCCCAGTGCATCGAAACTCCACGCATCGCTGAGGCGAGGCTCACTATCACTGCGACCCCGTGGCGGTGGCGACTGGATGTTTGCAGGGCCAGGTGCCCAGATGAAACTCAAGAGGAAACGGGGGTTCAGGGGGCTAAGCAAACATTCTCAGATCTCAAATGAGCGTGCCACTGGAAGCACCTTGTCTTTGGGCTTGCAGCTCGCTATGTTGCTGAGCTGTTCCGTGTCTGGGGCGTCGCAGACCTTGTCATTGGCGCTCAGCATAGGAGACGTGCTGATGTGACAGCGCATGTTGCAGTGAGTGTCGCCTGGGGATGCAGTGTATGTCCTGCACCCAGCAAATTATGAAGCAAGATTGGGGGGATGCATCCATATGGCACCTCCAGCCTCAAGTCTTGCTTGGCTTGACAGAGTTTAACCTGTCACAGCTTCAACACCGAGTAACCGCCGCAAGACCTAACAGTTCCCAAGCAGATGCATGCTCCAAAGGGCGCAAATGGCTTTTACAATCCCGACCTAAGAAGGTTGCTTCACCAAGCCAGACTACAAGCACACAGACGCCAAAACGTCGATTCCAACTGCATGCGGCTGATGCAGAAACAAAGAACAGACACTCATTCAAACTACAATGGTTTCTATACGAAGAATACAATCCTGTCAACAACAGTGTTGTTGAATCATACTGCTATTACATTTATAACTTTATTATCATTAGTAATTCAGAACCGTACAGTTAGTTTGCTTTTCAATTAATCACTGAACACTCCGCTTCTTCAAAGGGCCAATCAAATCTTGCATTCCCAAGATCCAATCAAAAGGAAAGGGTCTAAGCGCAAGCGCTCAATCTTCGTCATCCTCGGTCTTGTGGTTCAGCAATAGATACAAAAGGGTTTCGCGCTTGCCACTGCACCTTTGTCGGACAAGCTGAATTTCCGGGATTGAATCTGTGGCAATCCGGCCTTGAACCCAACCCCGGAGGTCAGCGCTCCGTGTTCTGGGCGACCAGTGCTTGGCCCAGCGCTCGGAGACGCAAGTCTTGAGACGCAAGTCCCCGACGGTCCCCGGCAGTCCCCGACGGTCCCCAGCGGTCCCCGACGGTCCCGGCGGTCCTTGGCGGTCCCCGGCGGTCCCCGGCGGTCCCCGGCGGTCCCCGGCGGTTCCCGGCGGTTCCCGGCGGTTCCCGGCGGGCGGCTCCCGGCGTTTCCCGGCGGTCCCCGGCGCTTCCCGACGGTCCCCGCCGGTCCCCGCCGGTCCCCGGCGGTCCCCGGCGGTCCCCGGCGGGGTTCCCGGCGGGCGGTTCCCGGCGGGCGGCTCCCGGCGGTTCCCGGCGCTTCCCGACGGTCCCCGAAAAAATAGAAGAAGTAGGGGGCCTGGGGGGAAGTCTGTTGAGGGTTGCCTGTTCTGGTTTTTATGTTCATCTCAAATCTATGTTCCCCCTTATTCGTTTTTAAAAGAGGGTTTTTAGGGAGCTTATTTATCGTTTTCGTTAAGGTAATCATTTTGGTAATTGTCCCCCTTGTTCATTGTTGGGCTGGGGGCAAACATTTTTTTCATTTGAAAGAGGTAGCCCTTTTAGTAGTTATCAAGTTCTGGGGTGTTGGTGGGTCGTTTGTTTCTTTGACGTTTATCTCTACAATTATTTATTTTTGTTCTACACTCTTGACAATATTTATATCTTCTTCCACTTTTTACATTTCCAAATTCATCAATTGTTTTATCATAAAGACATCTGTTGCATTTGAAGAATTCACCATAGTCTTCTGTTGCTTTTTCTTCTGTCATTCCATAATTATTCATTATAGTTTGCTTCACAACCATTTCTTAATATATCTTAACAACTTCTTTTTATGTGATTTTTATGTGATTGTCTAGTTATGTTTTATAGGTTGAAATTACAGTATAATGAAAGGTTATAAAAGTTTACACTGTTTAATCATATTATAATTAAATATTATGATTAAGCCATGAAATCATTGTTTCTGTTTTCTATAAATTTCAATTGCAACATGTTCGATAGTAATGATTTCGTGTCGTTTCATAGTCTGTTTGGTTTCTTCAACTGCTTGTTCAATATGGTATTGTAATGACGCTCTACTTGAAATCTTATTCTGTTTAGATGATGAATAAGAACGACTGTTGCAAATATTATTATTATACATAATTTTTGAACTAACTACTATTCCAACCTGTATTTCTTCATCATACTTCATCATTCTTAATAATTCTTTTGGTGGTTTCAACGCATATGAAAGCGCTTTATCACCTTTTAAGCATTTATTGCGAATCTCAACATAATATCTACTTTCTCCTACTCGTTCAGTGTAAATAGACGGTTTCCATTTCCTTTGTAATTCTCTTAAAGCATCACATTGTTTCAGTCTTCGCCACCCTTCACTACCATTAATGTAAGTAGTGATGATTGAAACTAAGCCTTCAGGTAAGCTAGCGCAATTCTCATCCATAAAATTATTCTCTGACATTTTACCCTTACTCATTTTTCTCTTAATATATAAGGCTTTTTCTCTTTAAGTAGTTTTGGCTAGGGGGTTGCTGGTCGGCTGGTCTGGGTTTCAGGTTTAATTTAAATGTCTGTGTGAGCCAGACCTTGCTGTGCGAGCCAGACCTTACTGTGTGAGCCAAACCTTGCTGTGTGAGCCTGACTGTGTTGTGTGAGCCTGACTGTGTTGTGTGAGCCAGACCTTGTTACTTGAGCCATTCTCCCCTTAATTGGGGAGTTCGCCCCCCTTAATTGGGGAGTTCGCCCCCCTTAATTGGGGAGTTCGCCCCCCTTAATTGGGGAGTTCGCCCCCCTTAATTGGGGAGTTCGCCCCCCTTAATTGGGGAGTTCGCCCCCCTTAATTGGGGAGTTCGCCCCCCTTAATTGGGGAGTTTACCCACCGTTTTCAAATCCAATGATATAACATTATAACCGAGCGACTTTGCTACTTTACCAACTGAAGAAGTACCACTAAATAGTTCTAATAAGTGCATATATTATTAGAACTATTTAGATATTAATATTTTCACATACATATCGTTGATGTTTTTCAGTTCTCTCGTGTCTTCTTATATCACATTTCCTGAAAACACCACCACATTCACATTCAATAGGTTCTTTTCGTTTTTCCAATATTGTTTCTTTGTTTTGGTGGTAGTGCTCCCTACTTTTATTACATATATGTTCTTTGTTGTTTTCTGCGTATTCCTTCCTCATATTTTGATAGTGTTCCTTATTGTCTTCCTTCCACTCATTAATTGTTCTACCTACCACACATCTATTCACACAATCATTATTTTGAATGTAATAACCTTCTCTTTTCATTAACTGTTCTCTGTTTTCACATGGGTAGTCTTCTAATAATTCAATCTTACAGTTGTCCATTCCATATTCATCAAACAACAAACGACAGTTTGTTTTATTATTCCATTGTTCTGCCTTGTTATAATTTTGTCTATGTCTTGCCATTCTTTGGCTCAAGCTTTCACAGGTGCTTCCGATGTAGCACTTATTATAACCAACATCTGTTATTTTGTAAATCTTTGCGTTTTTATATTTACTGCTATCCATTAATAACCTTAGTTATCTTTTCTTTAACGCAGTTTATAATGTCCATAAGGCAGTGAATTGAAAGCATCAATGTAAAACCTTTTATTTTCATAATTACTGAGTGATTGCTTGACTTGAGACATTGAAAATAATTGATGGTTGCGACTACGAATAAAATTATATGTTATTTCATGCTTTTTGTTTTGAAATAATGCTTCGTGGTAGTTTTGGTAAGTCAGTTCTTTCTTCACCTTGTGTTTCACTACACCTTTTGATTTCTTTTGTTCTTCTTCTTCACCGTGTATTGTAAAAGCATACGATTTAGGCTTTAACCCTATGAATTGTGTTATTGTTTGACCGTTGCACTCATCCTTGAAATAACCGAGTTTTTTCTTATTTGTTTTGTCATGGCAGGGGTGTTCAGGTGGATAATCGCTAAAGTCCATATATTGGTTTAATTCTTTGAAGTCCTTGTAGATGTCCTCAGTGAATGTTTGAATTACATAACTGTCAGTATCAGTATAAAACAGTTTGATGTTTTCATTGTATTTCTTCTTAAGAACATCATAGTAGAACTGATACATATGTAATTTACTGATGTCAAGGATTGTCATTCCTAAGAAAATCGGTTTGTCCAGTTTCAGCTTCGCTTTAGTTTTTTCAACTCCTACAAGGTTTTCATTAATAATAAATCTATTTTTGAATGTTGGATTATTAACACATTTTTCGTATCTAACTTCATTATCAACTAATTCAAAGTCCATATGATTTCGTTTGTCTTCCATAGTTTTTCCATACACAGAATTATTCATTAATTTGAATAAATCTTTCTCAAAATCGCTTTTGGCTTCTTTCCTTTTACCAGTGTTAAAATCAATCCACGGTTTCAACCATGCCCTCTGTTGAAATTTTATTATCCTATGGACTTTACCCATTTTCATTCCCATTTTCAAATAATACTGTAAAGTCTTGATATGAACCACATATTTTTCTTTATCCTTTAGATTTAATATTAACTTACTTGTTTTCTCGTCCTTGGGACTTTTACCGTCATAATATATTTTGAAGACTTGCTTTTGATAGTCGGAAAGCATATTAACATTTACATTCATTATTTCAGGCGCTAGTGGATAGTCAGAGTGGAAGTCGTGCAATGTTTCGGGATATTCCAAATCAACTTCCATAATATAACCGAACTCATCGTTTTCATTCCATGTTTCAACACTGGGCGTTTTCTTTGCCCACTTGATATTTTTTAGCGGTAATTTCTGGGACATTGCTAAACCATACAAGTTATTAGCATCCAAGTAGCTAATATAATTTGATGGCTTGTTCTCATCATATGCTTCCTCCATATACTTATTATTTGCCACCGCTAATTTATGACTTACCTGACACATACCACCTCTCATTCCCTTTTCAACCATCTCAAACATTTCTTGGTCATGCAATTGTTCTATTTCAACACCAGTTTTTAGAAGCATCGCGTCCCATGCGAAATTTGGCAATGTGTAATAATGAGCGGGGTCTAAACCGTAGTATTCCATACACAAGTCTCTAAAGTTTTCAAATACATCGGTCAGTAGTAAAACATCAGTTCTTAAATACAAGTCGTGATACTGCCCGAGTGTTCTAATCCCGAAGTGCTTCCATACTTTCAGTGCCCTTTCATAATCTTTATCACTTACATGTTCCTCACTTAATTTACTGTAAAACGCTTCTTTCGGTGGTAAAGCCCTTTCCTTAAATCTTTCAAAATCATCAAAGTAGTCATAGGGATAAATACCCTTATCAGTCAATAAATCCAAATCTTCATCGGTTTTAACATACGGGTTTCTAACGCTGTATCTGAAATTGTTCTTCCAATTCTCACGCTTTTTATCATCCTCATATTTACTCAACTTCACCAACTTATCCAACGAAGACGATAAGAAACTGAAACTGTCCTTGAAACAAAGATTTTTAAAACCAAAGGTTATAAACTTTTCGCTGTTCTGAGCGATACATTCTATTTTAGAATTCTTGTTCAGTTCGTGAGCCTTGTTGATGATTAAGTGGGCATCGTAGTTTTTAAGGTTATGAAGAAACACAGGGATTTTATAATATCTCATACTAAATCGTAGATTGCAGTCCTCGTGGGCGCATCCTCTATACTGCCCCGTAAAGTGGCAATGGTCCCAACACTTCTTTTCTCCTTCCTCAAATTTGTTTCCACAAATGAAGCAGTTAGTGGCATTATTGAAGTCCTCCCAGTCCTTCTCGGTTTCAATACGGTCTTTGTCCTCCTTCATTTTCTCCAAAACTTCCTCTCTGACTTTATTGATTTTCTCAACAAATTTATCCATACAATCCTGACCTCTATATAAGTAAGGCTCACTACTTCCGGTTATAGCATTGACTACATTAATCATAAAACCACACGGACGATGATTTTGATATGATGTAGTTTTAGCTTTTGCCGATTT